AGGTGGAGGACAAAGATGACGGTCAAAACGGACGGACGGAGGCGGAGGACGAAGATGACGGTCAAAACAGACGGATGGCGACGGAAGGAGGCGGTCGGACGAAAGCAATGGACGAAAGTTGTCGTCTGTGACTAGGGTTCTATGCGCGAGCAGGAAAGAAAGCAAAACCACGACTGTTCTCTTTTATGAAAAATTCTGGAATTTTTTTAAATTTATGCGACTTAAACCTATAGCAGCGCTTTAAAAAAGCGCTCTCTAAGATCTGCCTTAGGCAGGACCTATAGTCGCGCTTTTATAAAAGCGCTTTCTTTTGTACCCCCTTTAGCAGCGCTTTTTAAAAGCGTTCTCTAAGGTCTGCCTTAGGCATGGACCTATAGCAGCGCTTTCGTATGTTACACCTATAGCAGCGCTTTTTAAAAGCGCTTTCGTAGAGCCTACTTTTAGCAACGCTTTTTGTAAAGCGCTTTCTATTGTTAACCATAGTTGCCACCTTTAGCCGAGCTTTTCTAAAAGCGCTGTCTAAAGTCTTTTATTTTTTTCTTTTTTTCTTGACTCTTTAGGAGCACTTTTGCAAAAAACGTTGTCTTTTCTGCGCTGCCAAAAATCATTTCTGTAGTAGTGATATCAGATTATGTATAAATATTTACAAGTATTAGAACCTGCATACAAGAAACACACATCAAATATAATCATCATTCTTTAAATACTTTATTATCATCAAAACCTAAGAAATATATGTCATGAACAAATCTTATTCTAACATTAGCTAACTACTAGTTAAAATGGCTTTAAACATATTATTGTATTAAACCATGTACAAGGCAATGAGCGAATATAATTAAATATTATTTCAATTTTACTTAAGGGTCCCTCTTTCGGAGTTATATATATATATATATATATATATATATATATATATTTTTGATATTTTTATTTGAACATGTCACATAATGATATATATATATATATATATATATATATATATATATATATATATATATATATATATATATATATATATATATATATATATATATATATATATATATATATATATATATATATATATATATATATATATATATATATATATATATATATATATTTTTTTTTTTTTTGATATTTTTATTTGAACATGTCACATAATGGAAAGACATCAATCAAATATTTTTATCAAGATATTTATGCATGATTAGGTTTCAAAACTTAATTTAATATAATTATAAAAAATTGAATTACTGATAATTAAATTATTAATACTTATTGCTTAATTTAGTTTATCAAAATGATATTTCATACTACCTCCATTTTTTATTATAAGTTGTTTTAAAAAAATATTTTATACCACAATATAAGTCGTTTTCTAATATTAATGAATAGTTAATGTTATTTTTTTATTATACCCTTAAATATTTATTATTCTCTTTCTTTCAATTATGTAAATTTGTCTTTGCAATGTCATTAATAAAGAACAATTTTGTAAAACACTTCATAATTTTTCTTTTTTCTATCACAATTATTATATTTCTTTAATATATGTTAAAAGTAAAAAAAAAACTTATAATAATAAAAATAGAATATTATCTAAGTCTTGGAATCAAAACTTGATTAAACCCTTAATACCGTATTAATCATTTTTTATTTTCTGTATAAAGAATATAAAATATATTTATTTTCTCTTAAAGTATATTAATGTATAACACCAACCTAAAAATTTTCGTTTTCATCTAATGCATATTACACATTTGAAAAATGCTACCACATGTTAATTAGCATAAAACTTTTATTATTGAAAAAAATTCAAGAATCACATTGATTGAAGATAAAATATTAAAAAAAATTATATAAAAGTAATATTATAAATCAGTTTTATAAAGACGAGTTAGATGAAACTCTAATATTTACTACAAATATATCTACTTAAAATAATTAAGGTGACAAAATAAATTCAATAGTTTTTAAAATATAATTCATCTAATAAATATTAATATTAATAAAAAACAAAACATCTCAATAAAATTTTTAAAAACCTAAAAACGAAATTTAAAATATTTAAAATAATTAATAATTTGAAATTTCTCACGTGATTAAAATTTACTAAATATCATCTATAATATATATAAAGAGAAAACTTGATTTTGGTGTAATTTATTTTTATTTTAATTATATCTTTTTATTTTTTATTTTAAAATTCAACTTCTCGTTCACTTTCTTTTTTATTAATTGTTGTATGTTGGTTTGCACAACTATTTCTAAATATAATATTCTATTTTTAATAACAAAAATCGTTTTTTAATAATAAATAATAATAATAATATAAATATAATATTGTTTCAATAAAACATTAAAAATAATATATTTGATTTTTAATATTCAATTTTTAAAGTAATAAAACTTAAATAAATTTAATAACACATAAAAATTAAAAGTATTATTAATATTCAGTTTTTAATATTGTTACTATATATAAAAATTTGTTTTAAATAACACATAAATATTAAAAATAATAAAACATTAACAATAAATTTAATATTCTTTTTTTATATTTTATTAATATTCTGTTTTTATATATTATAACCAAAAAATAAATAAAATATTAAAAATAATATATTTCTGTTTTTAATATTTTATTATTAAATATAATATTCTATTTCTAATAACAAAAATTGTTTTTTAATAAATAATAATAATAATAATAACAATATAAACATACAGAAAATAATACATCTAACAAGAATCCAAAATTCATAAATCAAACTAAAATAAAAAATAAAATAGCAAAATTACCTCTTCTTCACACTCCTTCAATCTTCTAGACAATTATCTTCTTCAATCTCCTTCTTGTTTTCTTTCTCAATAACAATGATAATTTGACAACAAAAAAAAACAAATATTAAGCTCATATAAAATTACAATTTAAACTAAATTAATAAAAATAAATTCAACAATAACCATATGAAAAGAAAATATATATTACCTGAACAAGCAAAATGAACAAAACTCAAGAAAAATTATGAAAAAATTTAGAAGAAGAACAAAGGAGATGAGGAAACAAAGAAGCGAACAAATTGTGGAAGAAGAAGAAACAGAGAGAAAGAGAAAGAAAGTAATGTGAAATAAGTGTGGTTTGGGGAATTAACACGCATGCCATAAATAAAATCTTACTGACATGAATTTCACGACGCAAATTTGCCACGTGAAATTCACGTCGCAACCTATAACGGCTAAATTTAATTATTCACATTACCAACGATCATTCTTATTTAGTCAATCAACCTGCAGCACAGTCAACGTCACTTCTAAGTCAGATATTTTTTTCTCTTAAATGGTTGCGACGTGATATTCACGTCACAACCCAAAATTTGAAATTTTTTCCCTTTCCGCTTCAGTAGATATGTAATTTTAAATATTTTTCTTTAATTTACATGTTGCAACGTGATTTTCACGTCACAAAAGTTTTTATTTTTTAAAAATCTGATAGGCCATGTTGTTTTATATTATTTTAATATTAAACAAGTTAGTGACGTGAAAATCACTTTCCAACTGTCAATATTTTGTCACGTGATTTTCACTTCACTAAATCACGTGATTGGACGCAATTTTTTTTATAGTGATTAAAATAAAAAATAAACACATAAAAAACACGTTTATATTTTTAAAAGACTAAATATTAAAAAAGCAGGTCCCTTTGGACGCCAGTATATGTAATGGCAAATCAATCTTAATTTCAAAATAGTGAAAGAATTCATCTTCTTCAATCATATGATATTTAGCTTTTAACATAAGATAGTGATCAGTTTGGTACAGTATAGCCACTTTACCTAGCAAACATAAAAAGAAAAAAAAGAAAACCTTTAGGAATGGAAATAGTGGACCCTTCAAAGCACTACACTGCTAGTGCTCCTTCTAGTTTAAGTAATCAAGTGGATGATATCGAATCTATAGATCATTCTGGAATCACATATTAATCCATAATAAAACTCAGAAAACTATATGTCATTATCACATGAAATAGATCAAAGATTTTTATATCATGCAAGTACAGTACATGTATTATTTAATGACTAACATAACATAATAGCCAATAGAAACTGTGCATGCATGTATCAATTGTTATATGAGGCAAAAAGTAGCATCCTCCACCATGAAACTTTTGGAGGGTTGACAAAAAAGAGAAGAAGAAAGCAATTAAGCAAAGAAAGTGTGTGTGGTGTGGTATATACATTTTTCTTAGAGACTAAGAAATGGAATTCAAATCTTTTTGGTTTCTGTCTTCACCAACTGTCATGCACTCTCCAATAACCTACTGCCAGATTACTACAATATTTTTTATATTTATTTATGCATAGAAAAGCAAATAATGTTAAAGTATTGTTATTTGTACAGATGATTATATGGATGACAGAAAGGCAAACAGATTTTGGAACCTAAAAAAGTAGGTAATTTTTTAAATGTCATGTGGTATGAAATGAAATTTAAGGGAAATAAATTATTTCGAATAAATTGAGTAGTTTTTTTAGGAAAAATAAACTAAAAGAAAAAAGCAATATTTTTAAAACGAAAAGAAAAAGCATTATTCAAACGGAAAAGAAAAAAAAAGTAATAGAATACCAAGAAAAAGTAAAAGGAACTAGATTCCTGTCTCAAAATAAATTATTTTACCAACACTTATTTTTCTCATGCTTTTCTTTTACATCTATAAATTAAACCAAAACTTCACCACTCATTTCCGAAAAATATAACAAAACCTCAACATAAAACAGAAAAAAAAACAGAGATACTCTGTTCTCAAATTCTTACTCACACTTCAATTTTCTTATATCAAACAATTTCACTCAATTTCCATGCTTCTAATCCCAAATACCATTGCAGTTTCTCTAGAATCTGCTTTCATATACATTGTTTACGACCATAAATTCTCAGTCCCTTTTATCTAAAACCAGAACAGAGTAAAACAAAAAACAGAGGCTGTTCTGTTTTGTTCTGTTCCATTCAGAAAAATGGGTTCAGTCGTTTTGCACAAACAGAAAACAGCTAAATCCAACAAAGTTCAGAAACATAGCCAGCTACGAAAGATTACGGATTTGTTGAGGTATGTTGAGATGTGTGTTGTGTTGGTTTTGATTTCAAGGGTTTCGTTTCAACAAGTACCATTGGCTTTGAAGAGTTCGACCGAGTATTTTCGAGGGTTCGAGGTTAGTCCCGGACTTGTTTTTCTGATTGGGAATGTCATCATTATCACACTCATTGCTCAATCTGGTCATTTTTCAAATGATTCTACAAAGAGAAAAAGTTCCGAACAAGATCTGTATCTCGAGTTTCTCCAGAATAGCAACATGTATCAGAGAATCCAAGGTTCTGATGAGAGAAAACTGAGTGTGAAAGTGGAGAATAGTATAAAGGGTCGTCGAATAATCGATGGAAGCAAGGTGAAGATCTCCGAAAAAGATGTTAAGAAAAGTGATGAACAGAGGATGAAATTGAAAACAGAGATGGATTTGGAAGTGAAGGAATACAGGAGGTGTCAATCGGAAATTGAGTTGGTGAGGGGTGTGGATAGTGATAATGAGAAGGATCAGAAAGTGTTGCAAAGATGTGAGAGTGAGAACGAAAAAAGAAAGAAGAGAAGCATTGATACTGATAAAGAGAAGAAAAAGATGGTGAAGAATTCGAGTTTATATCCTGAAGATGGAATGAGCAATGATGAATTTCGTCGCACTGTGGAAGCATTCATCGCACGACAACAGAAGCTACGATAAATGGAGTTGAAAGCTAATTTCTATGTAATTGGTATAAGAATTGGATTGGGTTGTAATTGGTAGACTAAGAAGGTAAACCCCTTTCTGTTTTTCTTTTGTTCTTTTTAATGAACAAACAAATATGTGATGTATTTTGTATCATCATGTAAATTAAGATCAAAGGAAGTGTGTAAATAACTTCTTGGATAATAAACATTGTGCTTATTTATTTAATTGAGTTTCACTTTTAAATGTATGCTTGTGATATTGATGTTGAATCTACTTTGATGCATACCAACGGGTCAAGATATTGTATATGACTTATGTTTGTTTTAGACTATTTAATAAATTTTATAAGAATGATGGGATAAAAATGTATTTGACAGTTGAGTTGTAATTGAGTTTTTGGTGTAAGGTTAGTGTCAAAACAACTTATCTAATTGGCAAATATGATTAGAGGATGAAATTTGTAGACTATTATATTTTTAATGTTGTCAAAACATTGATTATTGATCAAATCAAGCTAGTTCATTGATCAAATCAAGCTAGTTCAGTTTAACGGTAAGGTTATGACTTGGATATTGCTATCCAAGAGGTGATAAGGGTTACGAGTAATGAGAAATAAAATTTAGAGGATCAAAGTTAACCATTCGCAAATTTATTACTTTCAGCGAGTCATGTAAGGAGAGAAAGAGTAAAGACCTAGAAGTGAAGATTTTATAAACAATGGTCAGGAAGAATCAGTTTGAGTTGTAGGCTCTTGCTACGAATACTAGTAGTAATGAGGAAACATTTACAAAGGCCTCAGATTTTAATTTTACTTATGATAAGGTTAGGAAAGAGAATGTACCATATCAAAGATACAATTATGTTAGTCTTGGTGGATTTACTTTGAATGTGGTTGAAGGGTTGTAAAAATTCATAAACATGAACCTTCAAGGAGGAATTTGAAAGAAGGTGAAGTCAAATATTATTGAAGAAACATAATTGTGTGCTTGCTAGATTACTTGAAAAGAAAATGGTGGTAGGAAGCAAGTGGATGCGGGTGACAAGGTTAAGATTTTAGTGTGAATTGAAATTGATTAAGGTTGAAGAACCATAATTTTGTGCTTTCTATGATTGTGTTCTTGAAATTTAGGAAACCTTTGGAGGTATTTAAGGGGATTGAAAACCACTTCTAAACATGTTGATATTTTGTGATTCATGTATATATATATAGTAAAACAAAAATATGTCATGTTCGCCTAGCAAAGACCACTTTTGGACACTTCAAGTTTCTCAGGAACAGTTAAACTGCCCTTGGAAAATATCTGAGTTTGCAGTGCGAGCACTTCTTCGCACAGCAAACTGCTTCGCTATAGCTTCGCCCAGCAAACTTTGGACCCTTTTCCTACTGCCCCTAATCTGAGATGGTTCGTTGGGGCTTTGTCGAGACCTTACACAACAAGCATTCGAACATGTTGATTCATCTTCCTTTATTTGGCTTCCTTGTCCAATTATTTGTGTCTTAATAATTGATGTTTTATGCCTATATCCTGCATAATAACACACACATCAAAGAATCCAAAGGTATTTGCAATATGTTGAAGAATCACACAAGAAAAAGAATTAAATCCATTAAAACATGAGAAAAGATTTGAAAAATGCAAAGAAAAATGGTTCAATTTAAGTCAAAATTTGCACTTATCATAAGTGCAATCATGAATGCCAAACACCTCTTCCTAGGCCTCTCTAAGTGCACTAGGACCAGGCTAAGCCATATCATACCCTTGATTTCCTTCCCAAAAATACATCATGAAGCTTTTGCTTTTGCCTTTAAGTGTCCAATGCTTCAATCATGCAAGGAAACCTACAAAAAGAGATGAAATTGCTCAAGCTAAAAGATATTTACATGAAAATGCAAAATACACAATATTTACATACAAGTTGAGGTTTTGATATTCAAATCCAATGAATTAAGTTAATAAGTGCCACAAAATTACACACATGTTTAACACAATTTGGAACTTATCACTAAGCCAGCTATGCCAACAAAAGAAGAATTCAAAGCCAAGTAATTTTAAGGCTAAGCAACAAAACTCGTTTAGCTTAGTATCAAATCACTAAGAGAGGTATGGATGTCTATAACTTCAAGGCTAACTTACTTCATGGGCAAGGAATGGTTTGCTTGCTAAGAAAGCTTATACGACACACTAAACGAGGAAAGGCGAAAAATGAAACTTGCATTGAGTTGGCCAAACTTAAGGGTGAAGAAAGTAGACGCAATAAGCAAGCTACAAGCCTCGCTTAGAGAGAATTCCATATTGATGTAGTCCTCCTTTTAGGTCTAAATTGTAAATCTATTATGGTTAAGTGTAATTAATTTCTCTTTTTTTGTTAGATGTGGTCGTCCTTATACTCATATATTGATCACGATCATGGTATTCTATATAATTCTTCTAACGCTTTAATATTAACGAATTCTTCATTCGTAATGTTTTTTTTTGGATTAGCTACCTTAAACATGTTTTCCTTATTTGAATTAATATTTGAAAGGTACTGGTCATTACTAGATCCAAGATTTTCATGTAATAGATATGCTAAAATGTAGACATAGATTTAGGTATAGTATCTGTATGAACCATCGAAGCTTAATGTTATTGTATTGGTTAATAGACTGAGAAATTTTCTATTAAATAATATGATTGATTTCACGTTGTTGGCTCAGACATGAGCTACGACATAGAGCAATGAATAATATTTGATTAGAATTACATACTAATGATCAATGATAATATATGAGGACAGGTCGACAAAATCTAACTCCAACATGTTTTCTCAACTATTAATATTAACATTTTTTTTCATTTTTTTAATGACACCTGTAACCACTAATGCCACATCATAAATTAACATGTATTTGATAACTACAACAATCTAACTCCAACAGTATCCCACTTGACTCATGTGATAACTTGATGTTTCAAAATCTTATATCATAATTTTGCAGCATTCGTTAAAAGCACCAAATCATTATCTTTAATGAATTGAAATGATTGGATTGTGACGGTCACAAGTTATCCATCAACTTGATTCATTCCATGTATCACAAATCAATCCAACTCAAATATTTAAGGGATAAAATTACGTGTCTTTCATGTCTTTTCAAACACACTTTTGTCATCACATATTAACAATAATGTATACAACATAATATGGATAACAAACCAAGTCGAAATATATCCTTAATAGAATTCAAAAGTGTCATACAATACGAACATTAAATTATACATGTATATACCGATTATATTATAATGATAACAAGGACTTTTCCATAATGCCTATCTTATCTACGTGGCTAAAAAATGTCTTGGACGGTAAACCTTTAGTTAACGAGTCTGCTATCATTGATCTTTATCAATGTGTTCAAATGACATGTTTGTTTATGCACTTCTCCTTTAACTAATAAGTGCTTCAATTTCATGCATTTAACTCCCTTTAAATACTTATCATTCTTAGAGAAGAAGACAATTGCAAATTATCACAATAAGTTCTTAGCGATTGATCAGTGCATTTTGATGCACCTTCTTCTATGTTTAGACTTAAGCATTTCTATAGTTTGGTTTATTTATTTTTCTATTTTATGATGTTTTTACAATTCAATTTATTTTCAGCCTTATTTGATTTTCGTTTGTTATTTTCAGCATTGTCAGCTTTTAATAAAAAAATCATAATTGGAGCTACAGGAATCAGATCGAGGCATTCTACCAGTCATTGGAAAGATAAGAAAAAGATCTACAACTTTCATGTTGCACGAAGAATCTGATTCGGATTGCATGAATCTCGAATAATTCGTTGAAGTTTCTAACTTGTGATAATTTAGTTGTTTTTCCCTATTAGGTCTGGTTTATGTTTCCGACCCAGATGAGTGCCTTATTCTATTTATAAGGTTGCTGCCGTGCTACAGTGACGGCTACTCTAGTTTTTCCGAAATTTCTTTTACTTTCATGTTTTCCATGGCGAACTAATCCTGAGCAAAAATCTGCCAGTTTCGAATCCCGTAATCTTTTAAGGTTTATTTTAATTTTATTTTAATTTAATTTCGTTCCAATTCATTTTATAACTTTTTTTGCTTAATTCATTATTATAAAATAAATTGGATTTAATTCGATTGATCAATGTTCCTTAACTTAATCGCGGATTAACTTAGCTTTTTCGTTAATTTGTATCATCTTTAACTGTCTGCTTAATTCGGTAATTAGGAATATAAATCGTGCGGTATTGTCGACGCTTGTTCGTCAATATTGAAATCGAATAGGGATTGGAACCGCTTGCGAATTGGAATTGTAATGAACGATGATAAGTTGGGATTCGAACCGGTAGATTTACCTGTTTTAATCACTTATTTCAAAATCACTTATTTTACTGCTAATTTTCGTAATCGAATCATAAATCAAAACATCCCCCCATAATCGTTTTCAATTGGCTATTTTGTAAACAAGAATCCTTGTGAATCGACATCCGAATTACTGTCGCTTTACTACGTTTTTTTTCCAAATCACTCGGTTTTGATCCGCGCGCGACAGCGGATCAACGATCTAGCTATACTTTCGACAATATCAAACCCTACGACAAAATTCTGCAACCACGATAATTGAATTGTGGTCTCAAAGCATGCCACAAATTCAAATTTTCCATAATAGTTCTCCTCTAGTAAGGAGAAAACATTCTTAAATGTGGATTTCCTTGAGTCCACACATCCTATAAAGCTTAAATCTGAGTAGTCAGTCACTTCAAGGTGATCTGACCTTTTATATTTGAGCCTGTAATCTTTGGTGCCTTGTAAGTACCAAAGAACCTTTTTTTTACAGCTTTTCATGTGACCTATTCTAGGATTACTATGATATCGACCCAACATACCAACATCAAAATTGATATCTGTCGAGTACATATTTGAGCATACATCAAGCTTCCAACCATTGATGCATAGGGAATAGACTCCATTTTCTTTCGTTCTAATTTATTTTTGGGACATTGCATGT